GCACAGTTTTTTGCAAATTTTTTCCCCACTGGGAAATAAATATCTGTGGGCAGTATTCATATATGTCTGGGTGGGTTATTCCATCCCATCAATATGCCCAACTATTCCGCTTTTTTTTTGGCTCCCTGGCGAGCTTTCCAGAGCCCAAGTCTCAAGACACAGGAGTTGTAGCATTTGACACCAATCCAGAGGAGGACGCTGGTTCCAGTGTAAGCTGCCAAGCACCCTGCCCATTATCCACAGGGAGACGATCGTTTGGCTGCCCATTATCCAGAGGGAGGAGAGTCCGTTAAGATGGCCCAGCTCATCCATCCCATCCCATGAGGGGGACCTCTGCTTTATTGATTATATGCGTATTGAAAGATATGCATCTGGTGAGTGCGTATTTTTACTATCTATCACCATACCACTGGATCGTGAAGTCACTAGCAACTCCTGTACCAACCACGAACTGTCAGCAATTTTAATATTATTTTATTTAAAATATTATTTTATTTATCATTTTATATTGATACATTATTACCAGACTGAGGCATATACCTTTTAGCGCTGCACTTTTCTTACACATGTATTTATGAGGTTTTGTTTTGGTTGCCTTTTATGTGCTATAGCTGCTACATTTTTAAGTGCTCACTGATTTTACTTACTATATAGGGGACAGAACAATGTTGCAGTGATCAGAGGGAGAAAACAAAAAAAAAAAAACTACCACAGGTATCCCCCTCTCTTAACTACGTAATTCCCCCTCTACTCTTCCTCCAAGCTTCTCCTCTCATTTCTTTTTAGGAACTTCTCTTTTTCTATCCCCACACTCTCCTTAGCCCCTTCTCTCCATCCTGGATTGTTCATTATCTGTAGGTCTAATCTTTCACAAAAGTGCCGTAAGTCTTCTGGGAACCTAAGTCTAACAGAATGTCCATCTTTCCAACTGATCAGACATGCTGGGAACCCCCAGATGTATTGCACATTTTCTTTATGCATCTGCTCCAGTAACAGTTTCGGGGCTCTTTTTCTGGCCAATGTTTCAGGTGCTATATCTGCAAATATTTGTATGTTTGTTTCTCCATATTTTATTACTGGGACCCCTCTCATTTTCTTCCATATATTTGCTTTGTCTTTGTATTGATGAAATTGCACAATCACTTCTCTGGGGGTTTCCCTTGCCACTCCTTGGGTGCGACCATGCTCGGATAAGGGTCTGGTATGGATTTGGGGGGGGACCTCAACACCATTTTTTTTTTAATTTTAGTGTGAGGGTTCCCCTCTAAATTCATACCAGACCCAAAGGGCTTGGTATGGATGGAGGGGGGACCCCACGCCATTTTTTTAATAAGTTTAATTGCCGGCAATTCTTTCTTTTACATTCAGCTGTCAGTGGGCAACCAATCTTTGCAGATGACACCAAGCTGTGCAGTGGAATAACGTCCTTACAGGATGTCACGGTCTGGGTCAGGTTCAGAGACCAGTTGCTACAGCAGTTGTAAGGCTTACCTGAAACCAGCAGGATTGATACACCAGCGGCCCACCCTGGGAATGACGCAGGCCCACCTGAGGTGCGGGGTCTAAGCATCCACCGGTCTTCCCCAGAGCTCCTAATGGTGGAGATGGATTTGGCTGCATGTGAATGCCAGGTTGCAGATCTCAGGATCACCCCACCAGGGAATGAGTAGGCTGGAAACCAAAAGCGGATCAAACAGTTCAGGGATCAAACAGAAGCGGAGTCAGTCACAAGCCAAGGGTCGGTCACCAATGGTAGTAGATAGGATGAGGCAGAATCGTAGTCAGGAGCAAGCCAAAGGTCGGTAACGTAGATGAAGACAGCAGCAGGAACAGTAAGCGGGATATTGGCGGGAAGGCACAATGATCTGGCAAAGGGGAAGTGCAAAGGCATGGCTTATATAGGAAGTTCATGGGAGGAGCAAGGAGTTCAAGGTTCAAGAGAAAACAGGGCCAAGGCAGGATCATCCAAAGAATTGTCAAGGGAGCTGTCCAGCACCTATATTCCACTGCAAGTGCTCTTGTCTTCTTATATATAGTTATAATGGTAGATCTAAGCTCTCAATTGTGTGTTCCTGTCTTTTTTTTCTCTCCAAACTTTCTTCCCTTTTCCTTCTTTTACTTGCCTCTTCTGGTCCCACTAGGTGCCCCCTCTTTTGCTTTATTATTTGCCACCGACCACCTGAGGCACCTATTCCACCTCCTCCCTGTAGTTATCTATTTATTTAGGCCTTTGGGACTCACTGTTTCTGCTTTGTGGTCTCTCTGCTCCACCGCCATTAGTGTACAATATGCGAGCACCGCATCCACTTTCAGTCCCCTCTCTCCGGTGGTCCAATAAGGGGGGGTCATCCACTGTGGGACCTATCAGCTCCGATCCGCTCCACACCTAGTCGGCTCCTTTTCTCTTCTCCTCTCCTCAGTCAGCGTCTCTCAGAACCCCCAGGACTCCTCCACGGCAGGTCACCTGGCTTCTCCCAGAGTTCTCCCCTCTCTCTATCGCCTGCACATGCCTCCACTTCGGCTGAGGATCCAAGCCTCCTCTCCCTCCCGAACCGACCCAGAGCTCAAGGCCGACTCGAGGGACACACACACAGTGGGGCGCACACACAACATGAGGTAGGGTGGTAAATCCACATTAGTACAGGTTCACTTTCATTTCAAAAAGCGGGCTCCATACGCTCCTACTGCGTGCCCCTGACAGCCAGGTAACTGTGTTTATCTCACAACATTACCTTTCCTAAAAAAAGGGGAAACATGCAGCAAATTGGAAATAAAAGATGAAAGAGCTCAAGTGCTGTCACAGAAAACTTGTCCCCTGCTCAGTTTAGTAGTCCAATACAACTCTAAAGATTCAAAAAATATTGCCACACTGTTTTTCTGGGTTATACGTATTGTTAAGGTTGGTTCACCTTTAAGTGTCAGCAGCTATTATTTCCAAGCGCTTACTAATTTTTCGTATATTCAACTATAAAGATTAATTCTGATCTGGAGGATCACAGGTTAGAATCCCTCTTTCTAACATACAGTAAATAAATTATTAATCTGAGAATGAAAATAATTGAAGTGGGTAGTTTACTTTGATTGTTTGAATGATTGACATTCAGGTTTAAAATGCTAGCTGAAACCAACAGTATAGCTATTGTAACTTCTGTAGTGTATGGGAGTAGAGGAGCAGATGGCTGATAGACAAGGAAACACTATTGACAGTAAATAATACACTGGAATTTGCATTTCAGATTCTTCAGTGGTGCTCATAAACAGTTGTGAAATTAATTAAATTGTTTTAAGAAAACAACAACATTTTGGTATTCTCACCACTAACAACAAAATCTGTTTAGGAGGACAGATTCCCAGCACAGCCAGAAAACTGACCTCACTGGGAAATGTGTGCTTCTAAGCCTACCGTGGTCAGTTTGAAAGAGAAAAGCAGGTGGACTGGAAGGGTCACCAGATATTTCACACAAAGGAAGCAATGAAAAGAGAACAGCATACTTTCTAACACAAGTACATGGCAACATACACATATCAGGAATAAAAAATGTTGCAGTAATGTATTCTTTAACTAATTCCATCTGTAATTTTCACTTGCAGCATTGTAAGGTATAATTAGAAAGAAAAAAACCCCACAAGTAATTTAACCCCTTTGCTGCCAGAATCATACACTGTACAGACTTGACAGCAGGCAGTTTTATATACAATCCAGTGGCTGAAGTGGATAAATCTGACAGGCAGGAGCCTGTCAGGTGGAAGCAGTCAGGCAGCTCCGTTCCATATCCCCCAGTTCTGTGCCCCACACCCGTGGGCACGCTTCCACCATGTAACCAGGCTTCACTTACTCATCTGCGGACCCAGGGAGAGCCATGGCAGGTGCCGGTGGGTGGAGGGGAGAGAGGAGAGCGGATGAGCGTCTGCTTCCCTCCCCTTCTTTGTGTGACCTGGAAGGTGACGTCCATGACGTCTCTTCCTGGTCACAGCTGTCACTTACCTGGCTAGAATAACCGGGGGAAAGATGTATTGCAGTGTGGTTTTTTAGACCATGCATGTCTCAATAAAGAGAATCTGTCACCAAAAAGTCATCACATAAGGGATGTTAAGGTACATTTTTAAAAAAAAAAAAAAAATAAAGTTACACCCAACCACATAACATCCCCCCCCCCTAAAAAAAAAAATCCCCCCCATCCCCACGTATATGCACATACGAACGTAAAAGCACATGTTGGGGGCACCTACTCCTTGATTGCGATACACATGTTACATATCGCCATGCACGTCGGAGTGAGAGCAATAATTCTAGCACCAGACCTCCTCCATAACGCTAAACTAATGACCTATAGGGGCTTTTAAGCATCATCTATAGACAATACTGAAGTTTGACGCAATTTCATAGGCGCACAAAAATTTAGGGTTTGGCATGTTGTGTATCTATTTAGTTGGCACAATCTCATCTTTTATATTTTACCAAAAATGTGGGTAGTTTATTGCATTTTTTGCCCTACAATTCACGTTAGTGTGATTTTTACTAAAATTTTGCGTTTCGTAGACTTTTGCAATAATATTGTGTTACATAAGAAATTGGAACTAGCACTATTTTATTCTCTCAGGAGTCTGCTTTCAGAAAATATATAATGTTTTGGATGTTTCGTGTAATCTTCAGGCCTAAAATTATTTTTTAAACATGTATACAAAAAATGCAAAAATGGCTTTGGCAGCAAAAGGGTTAAAGCTTCCCATGGTAAATTGAAAACGTTAAACCAAATCCCCCCCCACCCATATCCCCCGTAGATCCGCAAGCAAAGGATTCTTATTTCCCTTTGGCATTTCACCAGTTAACAAATGATATCCATTGATTGGGTCTAGTACCAAATGAGTATATGAGACCTATTCTTCTCATGTCCTCATTTTGCTTTCTTTATATGTTATATGTAATATGTAATTTTTCTGTGTGTGCACACTATAAGCCTTTCATAATGTTTCTCACTGATAAAACTCTCTTAACTCGCCACAGATCTGAAGGATGTCTCCTCCACATCTATGCATGGTATGTGTGTTTACCCTGTTCTGTCTGTCAGGGTGTTTACCAGGGGCGGACTGACCATTTGGGAACTCGGACACTGCCCGAGGGCCCGGGGGTCAGTAGGGGGCCCCATGAGATGCCCCTGGTACCTTTCATAGGCTTATTTGGGTGTGATTTGAGTGTGAGCAAGGATACAGGGGCCCCATGATCCCCTATTGCCCGGGGGCCCCATGAGTTGTCAGTCCGCCCCTGGCGTTTACTTTATCCTATTGCATTTTTATACCAAAGAGCCAGAACTACTGTATAGCAAAAAAGGGTGTCTAAGTGAAAGTGGCTGTACACCTTTGAAATGAAAAAATGTATAAAACATATTCTTTTGTAGTATGTACTTGCCTCAAGCCAGAGCACATAGCATGGTCTGCCTGCTCTCTCCTTCCTCTGCTATCTGCATGAGTCACTTCTGATAATTTAAATCAACACCAGGAAACCCCAGGAAAAGGCCCCACTCCGCCCATTATAGCACACAGCAAGTGATTGACATGTTTCCCTATAAGTGTTGGGGAGGGAGGTGTTCATTCCATCCACTCAGGTCTCATATTACACTCAGCTCTGTGCTGTGCAGTGTGTGATGTCAGATTTCTGCCCCTTGCCTTCTGGAGCTGAGACCTGAGCCCTTCATCTGTGTGCTTTAAAAGGCTATAGTAGTGTTTATCAACCTTTTTTCAGTCAAGGCACCCTTCAAAATTATGGACAGTCCAGAGGCACCCTTTAAAATTATGGAGAGTCTTGAGGCACCCCATTCTAAAATTGGGTGCCTCAAGACTGTCCTTAATTTTAAAAGGCATCCTATTCTAAAATGTGAAAAACTATTCTAATAGTTTTATATAACACAGCAACATCCACACATGTAGGACACCCAACACTAGAGGTGATTTATTCTTCCAAAGCAAATACACTTTTGCACACTGGTACTAATGTGACCCCAACACTGATGGAGAGGGGCGGGGAGGGTCAAACTAGGATGCTGTGCAGGCAGCTGACATCCTCCTTTTCAACTGATGTTGTCACTGGTTGTCAAGACGCCGGAGGCTAGAATGTTGTAATGATGCACAATGAAAACCTGTGGCTTTGTGCAACTAAACGGCAAGCTTGTTCCACCCGCTCGTTTGTATACAAGTTTTGGGCAATTTGTAGACATTTTACCAAGCACCCTGAAGAAACCTCAAGGCACCCCACAGTGCCTGGGCACCCTGGTTGAGAAAAGCTGGGCTATAGAGGAGATAAAGCTGCAGATTAACAGGTACAACTTATGTAGAAGGATCTGCTTGATCTCTGTGTCACTTGTCACTTCAGTGAGTATATGCAAGGATTTACAACCACATTAAAGTCTTTTCCTTGTAAAAAGTTTTGTCCTGAGGTCTCTACCTGAGAATTTATATTGTAAGATCTCACGAGCAGGCCCACTGAACCCTCCTGTATTGGACTGGATTGTACCTATCTCACTTAATTTTGTAAAGCATTGCACAAACTGCTGGCAATATATAAATGTATATATAATAATAATAATAAGTTGTGGAAGGTTTTGTCAATGATGCCCTTCAACTGAGAATCCTTTTTTGTTGGGTTTCCTTCCTCCCCCCCCACCCAAAGAAAATAGAAAACTTTACTTAGTACACATGATTTCAATTTACCTTAAAGAACAAAGTAACCAGGATGGTGGGTAAACTCTTTGTCTTACCTAAAGGGCAACCATGAGCTTGGTATTTATTTTTAAAGCTAGCAATAAGCTTTCAGTTAAAAGTGATCCAGGAAGCTCTAGATCACTTTTGAGGAACTCTAATATTGGACATTACCCCCCTCCTTCCCCATACACTCCTGGTGCCCACAGTTGTTCCCAACTCTCCTGTTCCTATGAGGTGCCTGGGACTGACGTTGACAGCAGGAAGAGCTGGGAGACCATCTATATACCCTGATCTCTTCTGTGACTCAAGAAACCCTGAAACGTGTATAGTTGTTGCAAGGCCTGTGCTTGATTAACTGGAGTGGAGGGAAGGGGAGATGTTGACCCCTGATGTCTCAATAAAAAGAGCCAGTCACCTGCCCATGCTACCACATATGACGACTGTTGGCCACCTTACACCTAGCAATAAATTTAGGTGAAAAAGTGTAAAAAATATTTATAATAAAATAAATACAAATAATAAAAAAAAGTAAAAGCACCCTTATGCACACTCAAGTGCAAAGGCGCAGTGTAGGGCTTGCATATGTATGTAAACATAAATTGCACCACACACATGTGAGGTATCATCAATCATGTGGAGACACTTCCTTCATCTCCCTGTCTATACTAAGGAATAGGCTTTCAGCTGGAGAGCTGGAGGAGGTGTTAATGGATAACAAATATGATGACCACCATACTCATGTTACATTAGTCTCAGATGGAACTTGTAGCTCGTACTTTTACACATCTCTGTGAATGAATGATTCAGCTAAAGTATCTCACAGAAGTGAGTACACCCCTCGCATTTTTGTAATGTTTAATTATATCTTTTCATGTGACAACACTAAAAATATATTTTTCAGACTTTTTTTAACATATAAAAAAGTCATTTTAACATATATTTTTACATATATTTGGAAATGCATTCCAAAAATGTAGATTTGTATTTTTTAAAGACATACAGTACATTTTAAATGTATTTTTAAAAATATTTTTCATAAATTTTGTATATATATATATATATATATATATATATATATATATATATATACAGTATATACAGTTGTGTTCAAAATAATAGCAGTGTGTTAAAAAAAAGTGAATAAAGCTCAAAATCCCTCTAATAACTTTTATTTTCATACACACAAATGCATTGGGAACACGACACATTCTATTCCACATCAAAACATGAAGAAAAATATATCAAATTTGTGTTCTTCCTGAATATTAGACTGTTCAAAAAAAAAAAAAAACAGTGTTTGTATTCTTCTTTACAAACTCAAACATTCACTATATAAACTGAAAAATGTTTGAAGATTTTGCTTTCCTTTGAATCACTTAATGAATATTTGGTTGTATAAGCACTGTTTCTGAGAACTGCTGTACATCTGTGTTGCATGGAGTCACCCAACTTCTGGCCCCTGTGATCAGGTATTCCAGCCCAGGATGATTGGACTACATTCCACAGTTCTTCTCTATTTCTTGGTTTTGCCTCAGAAACTGCATTTTTTTTGATGTCACCCCACAAGTTTTCTATTGGATTAAGATCCGGGGATTGGGCTGGCCACTCCATAACGTCAATCTTGTTGATCTGGAACCAAGATGTTGCACGTTTACTGGTGTGTTTGGGGTCGTTGTCTTGTTGGAACACCCATTTCAAGGGCATTTCCTCTTCAGCATAAGGCGACATGACCTCTTCAAGTATTCTGATGTATTCAAACTGATCCATGATCCCTGGTATGCGATAAATAGGCCCAACACCGTAGTATGAGAAACATCCCCATATCATGATGCTTGCACCACCATGCTTCACTGTCTTCACAGTGTACTGTGGCTTGAATTCAGTGTTTGGGGGTCGTCTGACAAACTGTCTCCGGCCACTAGACCCAAAAAGAACAATCTTACTTTCATCAGACCACAAAATGTTGCGTCATTTCTCTTTAGGCCAGTCAATGTGCTCTTTGGCAAATTGTAACCTCTTCAGCACATGTCTTTTTTTCAACAGTGGGACTTTGCGGGGGCTTCTTGCAGATAGCTTGGCTTCACATAGGCGTCTTCTAATTGTAACAGTACTCACTCACAGGTAACTTTACACCTTCTTTCATCTTCCTGGAGCTGATTGTTGGCTCCAGGAAGAAATGAGTCCTTGCCATTTTGGCTATTCTTCTATCCATTCGAATGGTAGTTTTTCGCTTTCTTCCACGTCTTTCAGGTTTTGATTGCCAAATTAAAGCATTTGCGATCATTTTAGCTGAGCAGCCTATCATTTTCTGCACTTCTTTATATGTTTTCCCCTCTCCAATCAACTTTTTAATCAAGGTACGCTGTTCTTCTGAACATTGTCTGGAACGACTCATTTTCCTTAGAATTTCAGAGAGAAATGCACTGTAACCAGCATGTACAACATTTGCTGCCTTCCTTCCTTAAATAAGGGCAATAATTGCATAGAAACCAATCAGCTTCCAGGTTTCATTGCCAAAGCTTCATTGAACAAGCTGAGGTTAGAAGCTGATTGGTTTCTATGCAGAAGGGAGTCTGATTTTGGACTCTCCAGCTTTAGTAAATAAACCCCATAGCGTCCCTCTATCACCTCGCCGTTCATACTGTCACAATATATATATAATTATTTTTTTTATTGAAATATATTTTAAAATATATTGAATATAGCCAAAATTGTAGCATTTCAAATATATGGCAATATATTTGGGAAGAATATTTTTTAGATATATTTCAAATATATTTTTTTCCATATGAGAAGGACTCCACTGGCAACTTGTGAAGCTCTGGTGAACTCCATGCCCAAGAGGATTAAGGCAGTGCTGGAAAATAATGATGTCCACACGAAATATTGACACTTTGGGCCCAATTTGGACATTTTCACTTAGGGCTGCACTCACTTTTGTTGCCAGCAGTTTAGACATTAATGGCTGTGTGTTGAGTTATTTTGAGGGGGACAGCAAATTTACACTGTTATACAAGCTGTACACCCACTACTTTTACATTGTAGCAAAGTGTCATTTCTTCAGTGTTGTCATATGAAAAAATATTTACAAAAATGTGAGGGGGTGTACTCACTTTCTGTGAGATACTGTATGTGGGCTTTTTGTTCAATTCAAAAGAAGAGGCTGTGCTCTGTAAAAAAATACCAAATATGTCAGGCCCTAAAATTGCCTTGTGATACTCAAAATTATCGATCAATTGGCACTAAAAAACTATTACAGCTCATTCGTTTAGCAATATCACTCTGGTGTCAGCGGAACAAGAAGTAAAAGGAAATCTCGCCAATAGGGCACATATAGCAAAAAATAAATAGAGTGGGGTGTTAACTCTTCCCTTATGTAGTAAGATATTAAAATGCAACTTTGTCCTTAGATTAGCCTTGTAATGGTAGCAGACTTTGGGATGCAGTAATTAAAATTCCATACAGACTGCAAGACATAATTTTTGCAGAGTTTTTTTTTTTCTTTTAATGGTCATAAGTTTGTTTTTGAACTTTTTGTTTAAATGAGGGGAGATAGTTTCAAGTTGGAGAGACAGTTGAAAAATTTACATTTGACAGACCTCTTTAGTCATGCTAAACTTGGTTTGATTCCTAAGAGCTTAATATCAGCATTACAGTACTAATTTATTAGACACAGTCAGATTTAAATTTTCATTTTTGTAAAAGTATTTAAAATTTAAAATTATACTGTCTAAACCAATTATGCTTTGGCTGATCATCTTCAAAATGCACACATCTCTCTATAAAATATGCATAAATGATTTTAGGAACTTTTATCATTTGTAATTGGTAGCATGAGCATTTTTTCCCATTTGCCACAAAGTGGAGTGGGTTTTTGAAAAGTGATGCACACAATTTCATATTAGGTAGAATCATGTAAAATATTTTCACTTTTTATCTATATTTGGGCATGCTATACAAGTATGTTGTATTAAATAAAAATATCAAGCCCTTAAAGAGCTCATTCATGCATGTAAAGTTTCCTGCGACATAATGCATGAAATGCATGGCAAGAAACCAAGAACATTTGGTTTTATTATTTTATAGGAGATAATTCACATTATCATGCTATTTTGCGGCTTGGTAAAAAGGGACATTGATATGCATATTTTGATCTGCAGAAATGAAAGTTACTGGGCCCACAGAAAATAGTATCAAAATGCACAGGTACATATAACATGCAAATTTTAATGGAAAAGTTTAGACTTTCTCGGTCCCCCAGAAAATGAAATACGAAAGGGGTCCTTTGGAACACTTAACTAGTCACTTTGATAAAGCAAAAGTTAATATAGTAATGAATTCTTCCAACTGCTGTTCACACTGGGTTTATGTGATGGTTCATAAAAGAAGATTTTAAATTACCCACACTATTACATTTTCTCCCTGAAATGAGTTCACTGGAGGCTGCAAAACCTACGCCTGTAAGGAAAAGAGATAAGGGATACAGTGCTACACACCACTAGCCTTTTACATATGATGGATTCATTTAGTGCATTATGCCTTAAGAATTCATCTAAAAGATGAGCAAAACCAATATCTCTGTGGTGATCAATACAAAACTATGTGTGTGAAAAATAAAGTTAACTCATATTAAACCATAATGAACAATGTGCATGAAATAAATGGTGAAATAGCATTCTCATACCATATAATTCATTTATGCATAATAGAAAAGTAAACTTCAAAGACAAATATATAAACGTCCAAATGTGAAATCTTGAAAATGAGGAAAGTCTGCGTGTAAGAATCCCTGACCACCTCACAGACAAGTGTGCCAGTTAACTTACCAAATAGCAATTCAAATGCAGAGGCGGACTGACAACTCATGGGACCCCCGGGCAATAGGGGATCATAGGTCCCCTGTGCCCTTGCCCAAATTCAAAAAAGCCTATGAAAAAGGTACCAGGGGCATCTCATGGGGCCCCAAACTGACTCCGGGCCCTCAGGCAGTGCCCGAGTTTCCAAATGGTCAGTCCGCCCCTGTTCAAATGATAAGAGATCAGCAGTGCAGAAAACATTCAATTGGGGGGCCACCACTCAGTATACCACTGACCCCGCTGCCTCCACAGTCCTTCACTGGTTATCCAAATGCAGCACCTCAGAGTAATAATGGGTAAGAAAAAGAACAAAGGACCATAGAATAGTATACTAAAACATGATTTATTAAAAGTTGATATACTCACAAAGGTTACAGAGTAACACAGGCAAAACACACCACACTAGGGATGAACAGAAAGTGTACAACATCAAATGCCACTGGCCTCACTCTACGTGCGTTTCGTCTGGTGCAACGGACATCTTTATCCCCTAAAGAGTTTACTTCTTTGTTATAAATAAGTGAATTGTATGTTGTGGGACTGTTATTTCACCATTTATTTGATTCATATCGTTCATTATGGTTTATTATGAGTTAACTTAATTTTTTTCACACACATATTTTTGTATTGATCACCACAGAGATATTGGTTTTGCAAACCTTTTAGATGAATTCTTTTTGTAATTCCTTTGTGTCCAGAATATAGGTTACTGCATTACCTCTTTTTGTACTAAGCGCACAATTTTTGCAGTGTTTACAGTAAGCATTATTGATAACCCAGCCCTCTATCCCATTTGTTTGGTCATCTCTTGCCTAGTAACCTAGAAAATGGTAATTGCTGTTTACTTACATTCTGTTCCCATTAACTTAAATGGGGTTTGGCTTTGGCACCCGAATTTCAATAATCCTCAGCGAACTCACCCAGAACTGAACCAGCTGAAACTTAACTTCAAAATGAGCACATTTTACTATAGGTAGAAAGGGTATATTATGATTATAATTCCTACACACTAAAAAACATTAGAACTTTATTTAAAGCAGAAATCCAGGCTAAACAAATGTTAGCTTGCAAACAAATTGAATTGTCCTGTCTAACAGTATGCGTTAAAAACTGGGATTTCGATAGCACACGTTTGCAAATACAGCACTCCAGTATTCTGGAGTCGCCATTCCATGTGCTCCTTGCTGTGAAGGCCAGTTATAGATTGGGGGCAGTGGCCATTTTTTGTACTAAACAAATGTTAGCTAACTACATGAGCCATGTTCATTCTTAATAAACAAAAAGAGCAAGCGAGCGCTTAAAACCTAAAAAGCTGTAAACTCCAAAAGGTACCATATAAAACCTCCAAATGAAATAGTAAAAGCAGGGTGTAGCGCTAAAATATCAATGTAAATGACTAAAGACAAATATTTGCACTTATAACAAAAGCACAATAAAATAAAGTGACTTAGTGATATGAAAACATGTCAGTTTCCTAAATAATAATTACATATACGCATCATAAAAACGCATCATAGAAGAGCATGAAAATCCAGTGACAAAATGCTTGTATCTAGATAAAGTGCAATGCAAAGTGATAACTGTGTCACTTGATGGTAAAGTGCAAAGTGCCAGACTTATTAACCAAACAATAGTCCACAGTTAAGGTGCATGAAAGATCGTGATGATCTTCAAAATCCAGTGATCTGATCCGGTATTATGGTGATGTGATTCATATAATAGGATTGCACACTCACCAGATACGCAATCAAACTGCGCATTGAGAAATAACAATCTCAGAAAACTGGAGATCCCTTTATGGTCTGGTCTGGTCAGGTGCCACTCACTGTCCGATATCCACTGCTACACTTCATACAGCCGCTCTGTGGGTGTTTATAGTTTTCTGATGGTTGTCTGTAGTAGGAGGACCTAATGGGTGCAACCTACAGCTCTTCTCTCTGCACAGACTGTCTGTAGCACTGGTTTTAAACACTGGTTTTGTTTTTCGGTTACTGACGAATACGTCAACTTTAATGTTATATTAAGGCTCCAATCACACTTGTGCGACTTGTCATGCAACTTGACAAGTCGCAGCCCATTCTTTTCATTAGCACCTGTTCAAATTGGTGCAACTCAATGTCACAGTGAATTTAAAAAGGTGCCTGCACTACTCTGATGCAACTTTGATTCAGGGAGTGTAAAGTTGGATTAAAGTCACACTCAAAGGCGCACCAAAGTTGCTCTGGAAATGGTGTGATTTTGGAGTCAGGCAAGTGGAAATGGAGTCTAAAAGTATGACCTTGAAATTATTCCAGAACCTGTGACATGTGAAGAGATACATAATATATTTAAGGTAATAAGGATCTTTTTACATCTGTGTGTCCTAATGGTATTAATATGTACATTATGTGTATGTACGGGCATTCTGTGTGTGGGTCATGTACTCTTGTTTTTACTTTGTTATATCTCATGTCTTTTCCTTTTTTTAATATAACTTCACTAATACATACGGGCAGACAAGTCCGCATTACATACAGTTGATGACAAGTCTGCCTTATGGAGGGGTCTAAAAAACCCCGATGGCTCACATGTGTGCTGCAGAAGGAGATGGGGAGTACCTGTTCTATTTCTCTCCAAACACCTGGCATAATTCTGATTCCAGAATTACTCATAATTAAGCAGTTCCACAGCTGAGAGGAAATTGGTGAACATATGTTTCTAGTACTAAAACTGTCAGCTACCATCTTAAATGGCTAAAGGTAACACTTTACTTTACTGACCAGGAAATATTACTTTAATTGAGAAATTGGTGCTCAAATGTCCACTTTGTTTGACGTATCATACTTCTAACCCAACCTATCATTTCACATGTAATACTCTAACAACTAGAATTGTTGTGCTGGACCTTTCAAACTGATCTGATTGTGGGCTCATACATCAATTTTTTAGCCTTTAGAAAAGATCCTGGTATCCACTAAAATGAAGAATTGAATGCATTTTTCTAGACATGGATTTCCAGATGAGTTTGTTTTAAGAGAGCTTCAGAAGTTCACTAAAACCTTTGATTTTCAGCATAGAACGTCCAGCGCAAACTATCCACAGTCACTTGAACACAATGGGGTTGATTTACTAAAATTGGAGGGTACAAAATCTGGTGCAGCTCTGCATGGTAGCCAGTCTGAAACCTCTAACTTCAGCTTGTTCAATTATACGTTGATTACAGAAAACCTTGATGCTGATTGGTTTCTATGCAAAACTGCACCAGATTTTGCACTCTCTAGTTTTAGTAAATCAACCCCATTTCGAGAACTAGTAAAACTGTCAAGTAATAACTATATAAAGCAAAGTGGAGGAAATCCAACCATTGCATTTAGGCAATTTAAGTACACATTCATTATGCAATCGGATCACCAACTCAGCTGTTCATGAATCAGCAATGAATGCAATCTAAATGCGTCTATTCAGTTCTATAGCCTGATATGTTCTGCATTGGTCCTAAAAGCTCTGCTTACAGGAACAAAAGAACTCACCATACAAGGGTTTCAAGAAGCAGTAAAAATATGAGCAAGAAACGAAATAACCAAACAACATAACAAATCACCAGAAAAACATAACATCTAGGGTGAGAGTCTAAAAGCAGAAGGTGAGATACTTGCTCTGATTAAAAGGGTATTAGTAGAAGAAACTTAAGAAATGAAATGCAAGTACTGTACACCCAGTACGTAAAACTGGTGACCCAATGGATTGTAAAAACTATAAGGGATGAATTCTACCAAAACACTACATATAACATTTTATTCAATATTATGTTCACAATGGCTAAATCTTATGTTTAAAGAGCTAGGAGAATTGCAAGCAGGTGAGCTAGGACACCAACAAACAGTTTCAGTGCATAACAGTATAAACAGTACTGAGCGGCAAAAGGGATGAAAATAGGTGAAAACAGTATTTTATAAAAACAAAAAATATGTGGAAATTGTTTATGCCACAGTGGTTTAGCAAACTAAATGTCATCTTGTTAGGGTTTAGATCTACTGTAACATTATCAATAGTTTGAATAAGGAGACATTAGCATGCAATGTGGCACAGGAGAGAGTTAGACTATATTTCCATGGCAGTTTAGCAGAGGTCCACTGACTGCAAAAATCAGAGGATTCTTGCCCGTGGTTGTAAATGCTGCTTGCACACAATATGTGCGTTTTTTATATTTTTTGCGCTATAAAAAAAAAAAGACAGAAAATTTTGAAAAAAAAAACAATATTTTTTGCTTTTGGCTATAAAACAAAACTGTATATATTAAACTCAGTTATACATTTAGGGCAAAATGTATTCTGCTACATGTCTTTGGTAAAAAAAAATCCCAATAAGTGTATTTTTTGTGTAATTTGTAAGTGTGTTTTTGGTAAAAAAAAATTGATTGCTTTGTGTGAAAGTTATAGCGTCTACAACTATGGCATAGATACTGCAATTCATGCCATTTTTTGCTATACAGCTCTGCACTAGTTTAACTGACAATTGCGTGGTCATGCAATACTGTAAATAAATAAAATTTATGTCCTTTTTTTCACACAACTAGAGATTTCTTTCAGTGGTATTTGATCACCTGTGAGCTTTTTATTTTTGGCGCTATGAATAAAAAAAAGACCAAAAATGTTGAAAAAAAACGATATTTTCTCATTTCTGTCATAAAAAATATCCAAAAAACTCAAATTTCATTATAAATTTAGACCAAAATGTATTCTGCTACATGTTTTTGGTTAAAAAATCCCAATAAGTGTATATTGATTGCTTTGTGTGAAAGTTATAGCGTCTACAAACTATGGTATAGATAATGGAATTTACACAGCTTTTACTTTTTGACTGCCTATCACATTGCTTGAGGTGCTAAAATACCAGGATAGAACAAACACCCTCAAATGACTCCTTTTCAGAAAGTAGACACCCTAACCTATCTGCTGAGAAGATTTTTTTTTTGCACAAGTGTTTGGGAAATGACAAAAACATATTTTTTTTTTTTTTTTTTTTAAACAAAGTTGTCACTTAAATGATATATTGCTCACACAAGCCATGGGTATATGTGGAATTACACTCCAAAATACATTCTGCTTCTTCTACCGAGTATGGGGACACCACGTGTGAAAGACTTTTTGGGAGCCTAGCCACATACAGGAACCTGAAAAAAAGTTATA